CCTGACAACCAATGCCAATAAGCTGCCCCATCCATCTTTGGTTCCAATGTGAAGCACTGGGTTACAAGGGCCCAGTCCCTGGATGGTTCCTCCCTCACTAGCCTTGTCTCTCACTGCTCCCCTTTGGCCTACTGCTCTTCTCTCCACCCCACCCAGGGCCTTTGCATGTGCTCTTTCCCCATGCTAGGTATATTTTTCTCCTCCCATTGGATCTGGCTAACTCCTAGTCATTCTGTAGGGAGTCAGTCTAAAATGCCACTGCCTCCAGGAAGCCTGCCCTGATCACACCCAGCCAAGGTGGGGTCCTGCTTTCATTCACTCTCCTAGGTCTCTGCATAGTCCTCTGTGGTAACTGCGGTGTCAGCTTTCTCTGAGAGGCCTTCCCCACCCTCTAGCCTCCCAAACACACACTCTCAACCCCTATGTTAGGTTTTCCCTGGCATTCATTGCACATTGGAAGTTTGGTTTATGTGACTATTATCTGTCATCACTGTAAGGGCAGGAAATGTGTGTGGCTTACAGGCCTGGCACATGTAGGGGCTTGGTGTGTTGAATAAAGTAAGCCGCACTTGGCTGGGAAACCAAGGACACCCCTAAGGCTGGGCTTCCTGGTGGAGACACCTACTGTCCCATCCACCTAAAAGCACAAAGTGACCCTGGGTGAAGGGCCAATGGGGTTTCTGTTCCCAAACAAGACTTCCCTTTTCTAGCTCACGTGTCCACCAGATATTATTACCTGAGAATGAATGAAGCTGGGCAGAGAGGCTGCACATGATGCTCTGAAACTGTTTCCTTTGGTAAATAAACTTCAACAAGGCTCTAAGTGGGTTTATTGCTGCGTGCAGCCACAGGCTCTTCATTACGTTGCTTACAAATGAGCCTGAGCCACCCCACGTCTGAATTAGAGAGCCTCAAGTGAGGAAATGAAGTTAATACACGCAGTTTCTCGGGAAGGCAGTCCCTAATAGACGCTACATGAAGCTGGGGTTTGGCCGCTGGGCACAATGACATCTTACTACTGACAGAAAGGGAGAGAAAAGGAAAAAGAAACTCAGGAGGCTTAAACCAGTGAAAACTGGAAAACCACCCAGATGCCATCCCTGGGGCCACGGCTCCTGAACTATAGCACATCTCTGAAACATCACTTGGAGTCCTTGGGTGGTGGTAACGGTTATCATGCTCGGCTGCTAACCAAAAGGTTGGAGGTTCGAGTCCACCTAGAGGCACCTCGGCAAAAGGGTCTGCTGATATATTTCTAAAAATTCAGTCATTGACAACCCTCTGAAGCAGTTCTACACTGACACACATGGAATCACCATGAATTGGAATCGGCTTGATGCTCATTGGTTGATTGGTTTGCTTGTGTCACTTAGGAAGTTGGAGACTCAGCTTCCTCAGCTATAAAATGGCCGTAACATCTAAGTCACTGGGTCAGTGCCACACTGCAACGACATCATCCTGAATAGCTCAGTATACTGCAGGCACAGAGTACAAGGGAGCATCAAAAAGTTCCTAGAACAAAATGGAATGAAAACAAATGGAATTCTCCCACAAAAATTTTGAAGCCCTCTTGATATGTGCTCAGGAATTAGGAACATTTATTAGTTAATTGTGGAATACTAGGCAGCTAGAGAATGACCTACACTACACCATCCAATATGGAAGTCACATGTGACTGTGGGTGTTAGGTGCCATTGAATCAGTTCCAACTCACAGCGACCTTACATATAACAGAAGGAAACCCTACCCGACCCTGTGCCCTTCTCACATCTGTTTTGAGCCCATAGTTCCATCCACTGTGTCAATCCATCTCATTGAGGGTCTTACTCTACCAAGCTCAGTGTCGTTTTCTAGGGACTGATGCTTCCTGATAACACGCCCAAAGTACGTCAGATGAAGTCTCCTTATCTTTGCTTCTAAGGAGTATTCTGACTGTATTCCTTTTGAGATTGTTGTTGTTGTTAGGTGCCATCGAATCGGCACCGACTCATAGCGACCTTATGCACAGCAGAACAAAACACTGCCCGATCCTAGGCCAACCTCACTACTGTTGCCACACTTGAATCCACTGATGCTGCCACCTGGCCAATCCATCTCGCTGGGGGTCTTTCTCTTTTTCTCTGATCCTCTATCTTACCAAACATGATATCCTTCTCTAGCGACTGTTCCCTCCTGACAATACATCTGAAGTATGAGAGACGAAGTTTGGCCATCTTGGCTGCACTTCTTCCAAAACAGATCTATTGGTTCTTTTGGCAGCCCATGGTACTTTTAGTATTCTCCTCCAACACCATAACTCAAAGGCATCAATTCTTCTATGGTCTTCCATATTCACTGTCCAGCTTTCGCATGCAAATGAGGTGATTGAAAATAACCTTCCGAGATAGATGTGCTTATTCTCCTGGTGGTCCACAGTACTTTTCAATAGTCTTCACCAATATCTTAATTCAAATGCATCAAGTCTTCACTGGTCTTCCTTATTCACATTTATATGAGGTGATCGAAAATACTGAAAACACTGTGGTTTGAATCAGGCACACCTTAGTCCTCAAGATGACATCTTTGCTTTTCAACACTTTCAAAAGGTCTTTTGCAGCAGATTTGCCCAGTGCAATCCGTCTTTGATTTATTTTTTTGTTTCAGATGAGTTGCTTTAATTTCATGTGGCACGGAATTCTGGGCATAACAAAGACTGAAGAGCAGCTCTGGCAGGATTCTGGGTTGGGTTTACTGACCACACAGCTAAGATAGGACTAAAGAGATGGAAACTTTTCTTCTTTTCTTTTGTTTTTACAGCAGTTTATTCTTAAATGGACAACAGGCTCCAAGACAACATTTCAATCTAACTATAGGTGGCAAGAGACATGACAGCAGGGAATTCAAATACCTTAACAGAAATGGGATCAAGGGTCACCATCGCCTCAGTCACAAAGAACAGCTGATTTTTTTTTTTTTTTTTAACCAGGTTTTTTAATTCCACCTGTGGCCAGGGGCCCTTTCCCTGCAACTTTCATGGTAATTCTTTGAATTTCGTCTGCTCTTTTGGTTTCTGCTAAAAGCCTATCTTCTTGTTCATTTCTTTGTCATCTCTTGGGTTGTTTCAGGGGCAGCTTCTTACCACCTTCTCAGCTCCACATGGTGCCTGCAGCCCCTTCCCCAAACCTGCCACTGAAGGCTGAGCCCATCTTTGATCTCTTGACTGCTGCTACATGTGAGTTGCAAGCACTTAAAACGTGGTTCATCCAAATTGAGATGTGCTGCTTGATATTAAAAGATAATAGAATTTTCCATCAACTTTTTGAAGTCCCCTCTTCTTTCTCTCTTTTTATGGGACTTCTAGAAAGGAGCTCTGGTAGCGTAGTGGTTACGAATCGGGCTGCGAACCTTAAGGTCTGTGGTTCGAAACTAGCAGCCGCTCCGCGGGAGAAAGATGAGGCTTTCTACTCCCGTAAAGATTTACACCCTCGGAAACCCTGTACAGGGTCGCTATGGGTCGGAACCGACTCGAAGGCACTTAACAACAACAGAACAATTACAGAAATGGTTCGTTTACATGTGTGGCTTGAATTACATTTGTTGGACAGTGCTCATGACTGTAATATGTTACACTTAAAAAACTGTGACATTGGTCACCTATCATAAAACTCGCCCCCATAAGATGCTCAATTCCGTGGGTTCTAGCCTATTTCCCAAGTTGTACAACCATCACCACTAATTCCAGAATGCTTTCATTCTGAAGCACGGTATCCAGATGTCCACGCTATTTTGAGCAAAGGAAAGGTGCTGTTGTTGTAAGTGCCGTTGAGTGGGTTCCAATGATAAAGTGACCTGGTATAGGGTTTCCAAGGAGTGGTTTGGTGGGTTTGAACCTCTGACCTTGCAGTTAGCAGTCCAGTGATTACCCTACAACACCAAGACTCCCGTTGTTTTAAGAGCCATTGAATTGGTTCTGACTCATAGCGACCCTGTATAGGTTTTCCAAAGAGCGAATGGTGAGTTTGAACTGCCGAACTTGCAATTAGCAGTCCAGCGCTTATCCTACAGCAGCCTCTCTCCCCGCCCCAAAATCAATGCTAACGTGAGAAGTACTAAAAAGTAGGTTTATAGGAAATCTGGAGATCTTCTACAGATTTTTCCTCTGATTTTGTAGAAATCAAAATTAAAATATATGACTATGCATTCCTACATTTGTAAACGCATTTTCTTCTACACACCAAACGTTTACAGTGGGTTATCTCTGGGAACAAGGACTGGCTGAGGGAGAAAACGTAAGGGTGCTCCCCTTTTATTTTAAATATGTCTTTGCCGTCTGGGGTAAAACTTAAAAGAGCACGAACTGTTTTTGTGAATTTAAAATGGCATGGGTTGAATTTTGGGCCCCAAAAAACTCCTGGTGAACTTGGGTAAACGAGTGACGTGTTCACGGTAACTGGTAACGGACTAGTTTCAGCTTAAGAGAAAGATCCCTTTGAACGCTGTGCTTTTAAAGTAACAAGGACAGATAAGCTATTCCCCTTCATAGCAACCGCGAGCGCACCGCGGCCTCAGGGCTGCCTCGCGCAGACGGAGCCTGCCCGCTCCTCCCTAGCACTTGGCACTCAGTTCGGAGGGCAGGGGCCGCTAGCCTGGACACGGGCAGGGGCAGGACCAGGGCCCTGCCTCCCTATAGGGGCCGGCCAGCAAAGGGCAGCAACTTTGAGCACGCCCGCCCTAAGTTTCGAGGGCCCGGTGGAGGTTGGGGGGTTCCCCGGGTTGGGAATAGGACGCGGGTCTGGGCCCCGGGGTTGCTCTTGGTTGGAGGAGGGAGGCAGGAGCGGGCTGCCATACATCTCTGGGTGGCGCCAGGCAGCCACGGCGCACTGGTCCTCCACTCCGGGCCCAAAGCCCCAGCGCCGGCGCAGAGGATGCTGCGGAGAAGCGGAGGATGCCCGCGGCCAAGTTTAGGCTCGCCGGGAACCCCCTAACCTCGAAACTCCCCGACCTCCACGCCCGGCCCCTACCTCGGCCCCCGGCTCGGGCGTCAGGAAGAGCGCAAGCTCGCGCGCCCCGCTGCGCACCGGCTCTGGCCGGTCGGAGTCCACGAGCAGCATCAGGAGGGCAGCGGGGTCGGACCGGTAGAGGTTGGCCAAGAGTCCGAAGCAGCGGCCCGGCCTCGGAGCCCCGCCCCTGCTTCGCTGAGTCTGACGGAGGCGGGGCAGGTGCGCCCCGCAGCCGAGACTCTGGGAGCTTCTGTCTGCGTGGGCAGCGCCCCCAAGTGGCGTGCGGTGCGCATTGCGCTCAGCCCCCGTACTACCGGGTAAACCCATAATTCGCCAAGTCGTTGGCGGATGGAAACCACGTGGGCTCATGCGGGTTTTCTTTAAATATATATATATGTGTGTGTGTATATATATATATAGTTACAAAGTCCAGACCACTCACAGTGCGTGGGGTTGGGGCCTGGGCATCAATAACTTAAGAAACTCCCCAGGTGATTCTAATATACTGGAATCCCCGTGGTTCAGGGGTTCCTAATGTCATGCTGGGTAAGGTGCAGGGTCAGAGAAAAAGAGGAAAACCCCCAACGAGATGGATCAGCCAGGTGGCATCATTGATGGCGTCAAGTGTGGCAGCGGTAGTGAGGTTGGCCCAGGAT